AAAAAAGCAAACAGCAGCCCCCACACTTTAATAATTTTGCACCAAAATATGAACAACCCCTGTTCAAATTCATACCACTTTATATGACTGGAAAATGACAGAAGAGAAAGATTAAGGAAATAAGAAGTGCATCACGGTGACAAAGGCTTGGCTTTCAATACTGGTACATGACAATTCATAATAATCATGTTGAAAATTTACCTTTCTTCCATTCACAAAAAAAAAAAATCAGCTCATCAGAATTGGGAAGGGAAGGCATCAGGCCACACACCCGCACAAACCTTCACTGGGATAGAGCGTGTTTGTTTGCTGTCCTTTAAAGAGCAGATATGTTAGAGTAATTACTTAGATGCCTATCAGCCCCAAGGAAGCCCAAACTGACAGTGGCAGCCTGATGTGGGTGGCTTATAGCTGCACTGCCAGACCAGGAATGCCAACCAGGTCTCCCCCGACCTAGTCCATGAGCACTTTCAGCGGCTCCGAGCAGAACTGTTTCTCTTTCATCAATGAGTCAAGCCAGCATCTTCACGTGTTTCCTTTGGAGTCTAAGACCAGTTTTCCCAGGAGAATGTGTATAAAGCCAAGGACTAATAAATAAAAGTGACTTTTTTTAATTAAAAAAAAAAAAAGGTTTTGGAGACAGGGTAAGGTGGTGCTGAGGGAATGTGTTCTCTTTCCGGGTTCACAAGAGGGCGTAGTTTTAAGGGCAAGAATTTCCCAGCGCCATGCCCCCTATCCCATCTCTCTCCATCTGGGAGATTTAATGGTTTACTTTTAAATTTGGAGGGCATGGGAAGAAACTAAGAGTCAATCACTCCAGCGGAAGTTCTAAGGAACTCCTCTCATTGGCTAGTAGTCTTAGAGAAGGTGGGGGTTCCTTGCAGGTTAAAAGTCCCCTTCTTCCACACCCCTTGAGGCTCCATGTTTGGGTCCCCTTCCCCGAATACTCCCTTTGTGGAAGCCTATCTTCCCCTCCTAAACTCCATCTCTATTCCCTTCCACTTTGTGTGGAAGCTGCTTTCCTCTCCTGGATTCCGTCTTTCTGGATTCTCTCACTCAGTGTGACAGTTAGCTGTTTATTTCTCTCTCCTGTTTCTCTCTCTCTAAGCAAATAAATCACTTTCTACAAACACTTTTGAGTCCGGCATTTACTGCGCACTATGCCGTGGTCCCGGGCAGGAGACCAAGAACCTGGAGAAATGTTCTCTCAGGGAAGCTAAGGGCACCTTGAATCCCTGAACCCCAACATTACAGTGCAAGGTGACTTGAGAGACTAGTTTAGTTTTAGGTAGTCAGTATGGGCATGCACTTGGGCTGAGTCTGAAAGGACAAGCTCACCAAGAGAAGGCATGGGAAAATAGCGGCAAGTACAGTAGACCCCAGGAAGAAACGAGCTTGGTGTGTCAAGATAGCAGAAAGGAGGTCAGCGCGGCTGCGTGTGGGGAGTTGGGGAAGATGTGTGGTGACAGAAGGTCAGAGAGAATTTGGTGGCCAGGACAAGGGTCTTGGAGGGATCTAGTGGGAAGGGAAGCTATCAGAGAGTTCTGAGCTAGGATGCAACTTGTTATTTATAGCAGAGCATTCCATTGTACAGAGAATGTACTATTGCTGGTAGGAGGGCAGTTGCAGCCTAGATCTAAAGCCATTTTTGTGTATCCTGGGCTACGGGTAATGGTGGCTTAGACTAGGACACAGGGTGGTGGCATCAGAGATGGAGAAAAGGGGATCATCTTGGCATAAATTTTGGAGGTAGATCCAACTGGATCAGTTGATAGATTAGATGGGAGGGGGTAAAGAAAAGAGGGCTCAGGATGGAAACTACGTTTGTGGCTTGAATAATTGGGTGAATGTTGGTGCCATTTGCTGGGATGGGAAGTCTTGGGGAATTGAAAGTTCTCTCTTGGACCTTTTTGAGTTCCAAGTGCACATGTCAGTTAGATATAGGAATCTGGAGGTCAGGGGAGTGGTCCAGACTGGAGATGCCAAAACACTCCATGGAATTATAAAGTACTAGAAAAAAGTCATGTTCCTGTTGTGGCAGGATAATTTGAGCTATGAGCTGATGTGCTTTCCTCATGCAATTTCTTTTCTTGCTCTTCACACATTGGTGAGGGCAGCCCATAGTCCCTGCCTTCAGAGTTGAGCTCTTACTGCAGGAACGCAAAAACAAATGAAGAAACAAACAAAAAACTTGGGTAATGCTCAGGTAGAGTATTTCAAAACAGGCCTTTGAAACTCTGGCAACTCTAGAGATGCCAGGAACAAAGACCGGTAATAGGGCAGACAGGGGTGCCTAAGGTGAGTGTCCATCCCCATGCCATTGTTAGCTGCTACAAGAACTTTGGGTTTCCCCCCAGTTGAGGAGGACTGAGTTTCTGCTGCCAGGTGGAATGGGCTTGAGATAGAATCTAAATGTATATGCGTGTGTGCACATGCGTGTGTGTACCTGTGGGTAATACCTAACCTTTATTCAGTACTTAAGTATATGCCAGGCAAAATGTCTCCCTGCATTAGTTCATTTAATCTTCATCATAATCTCTGAGAAGGAATAAAATCCCCAGTTTGCAAATAAGGGATCAGAGGCACCCAGAGATTCAGTCACATGTTCTGCATACCAGAGTCTGTGCCTATGAAAGTCCTATTTGTAATATCACACAGCTTGTTTCCTCAACCACCTGGTGAGATATACTGAATAATTCTGTTTCTCTGGAATGTTGGGGTAGTCTACTCTAACAGAGTAATAGTTTCCACTGCATGTGAAACTATTGCAGGTTTTAAATGTCAGGGCAATTTATCCATGAAGTTTTCAAAAATTGTACAGCCTGACCCTAGATGCCTTCATCACTAGCTGGGTTGGCTTTGTTTTGTCATTAATGGGACATTCTTCACAGGAAGACCCAGCACGACCCTCCAGAGATGTGTTGATAGTTGAGTCCAGGCTATTTTGATGCCTTTTTCAAGCAGATGGAGCTACAGTGTCTCCCTGGTGAACAGAAATATGTATATATGGAACACCAACTGTTCTGAAAGATTGAATAGCACAGAGACCCCACTGGAACCCTACGGCTCTTTGTTCAAGCTTGTAATGATACAGTAATGACCTGTCACTCCTTGCATGTGAGAATCAGCAATTACATCTTTGAATTAGATATTTCTAGAGCTCCTGCATTATCAGCAAGCTTGGATCTTGTTTCCCCAAAGATATAAAAGTACAGACTTCTCATTTTCTGAGTGGGGAAGCCTCATCCTCCCTGGAAACACAGGTCATGTTAGGAGTTACGTGGCCTTGCAGGGCTGGAGACCTGATCCTGAGACCATGCTGTTGAGTCTAAAAACACCAGCTGTTTAAACACACACTTACCACTTGTCCCTGCATCACAAATAGAACATCCTCCAGACAGAAATAAGGTTCCTTGAGACAGATTGTCTAAAAGGTAGTGCTTTCCTCAAATATTTCCATGCCTTTTGCGTATACTTTGCAATCTGTACTTAATTTTGGTGTTTCTGAATTCTGGTTCATCTGTAAGAAAGAAATCCCCTGTTCTGCCACCAAATGGCTGGAGAATTCCATGCTCCAGGAGCAGAAAGAAACTTCCACATGGAGGGCTGGATGACATTGCCCTTCAACCTCCTTCCACTCAGGGATGGGGGTCTTCCTGCAGTAGCTCTCCACGAGTGTGTCGGACTGAGAAACAGCACCAGCCTCTCTAGCACTGCACTCACTCGCCTGTGTTCACTGCCTCTCCCGCAGCCTCCTGACAAGCTGGTCTTAGCAAAGGGCCTTTCTAGCAGTACATTCTGTGTTGGCATTCTAACAAAATGACTTTATTTTTTAAAGGGCTTTTAGCTTTTGCAGTTGTGACAGGGCAAAGACTGACAAAATTAGGCGTGTTCTCAGCCTTCCCTCTTCCCCTCTCTTTACCCCTCCCAGAGGGTGTATTTTTCTGTCTAGACTGTTCTGTGTCTTGTTGATAGCAAGTGGGGAATGGGTGGAGAGGAAACAGAAGGAAGACAGACATTCTGGGGAAGAGAGACAGAGAAGCCAGACTGGGGTCAGAGTTTGATAGGTTTTGGAGAAAGAGCCATCGTGGGCTAGAGGGAAGTAGGAGGAAAACAGCCTTTTCTAGAAGTGTTGTGACAAGTTATACATCAGATTTCAATTAACATTCTTCCAGAGATATAAAGGTTGTGTTAAAGCATACTAAATATGGCCTGAGAAAAACTCCTTACTTCTACATTTCAGTCCTTGTGGATTAACTGTAACCTAGCTTAAGAGTCAGACAAAATTGAAATCCTAAATAGTATGCACCTGTAACAATGCTGAGTGCTGGCTAATCCCAGCGGCCATACATCAACCACTCATAGAGGGCTGAAAATTCAAACCGTGTTCAAATAAGGCAAACACTGAGCTGTAACCAACCTGTTTCTGTACCTCACTTTCAATTCCTGTACATCACTTTACCTTTCTTGTCTACAGATTTGTTCTGACCACAAGGCACCCCTGGAGTTTCTGTGAATCTGCTGTGATTCTGGGGGCTGCCTGATTCGCCCTCAATTATTCATTGCTCAATTAAACTCCTTTAAATTTAATTCAGCTGAAGTTTTTATCAGTTAGAAAACATTCACATTTTTGGTTACCAGACTGATTATCTTAGTGCACCTTGGTACACAGATCCGTGGGAACACGAATCTGTTGGTGCAGGAATCTGGCCACCTATGGCCAGAACATTTATTGGGATACTAGAGGGACAACCAGTCATACTTCCATGGGCAGAGACCCTGTAAGAGTAATGGCATATTCAAATCGCCCTCTCCTCCCTGGGGACTCACCTGCCTGTAATTTCTGAAGTTTGCCCTCTGCAGGGCTAACAAATTCACTTTTAGGGCCCATAAAAACGTTATCCTTCTTAAAATCAGATGAAAACAATGAACATAAACTAGCCTCGGTCATATATATCAATATATAAATATATTTATATGTAACCAATGCAGTAGTAAAATTTGTGTTTTAGCAGACCTATTTAGTATCCACAATATTGTGTTTACAGAGGAAGGGACCCACAAAGGCAACAGTGCTGGGGACCCAAGAAGGTTGCAACCCTACCTCTGCCTTGTCTTTTGATAGGGCCAGATCCTGCGCTGCCTCCGAAGGCAACAGGGCTGACTACAATTGGGGAAAGCTGAAGTCAGCGGTGACATATTTGGAGCATTGCTCACCAGTGGAAGTCAAAGCCGTCAATATTACTTTCAGTAGTGTTGCTGCAGTGATTTGCTATCTGCCTAACTCATCTATCTACTGCTCAACTGTCCTGAATTCAGGGGGTCCCTCAGCATTCAACATCACATTCCCAGCTACTTATTTCCATGAGTCAAACCCACTCATTCTTTTCATAAACTTCATAATGGCTAAATGGCATTCTTGATACTTTTTGATTAAACAAAATTTAATCCAGAAAATGTTTCATTGATTGAGGAACTTTACTTCAGTGATCTCTTCTGTGGTTTTGGTGCCATTTTGTAGAAAGGGGAGTCCCCCCACTAAGACAGACATGATCTTTTCAGGATCTAGTATAAGCAAAAAGGTCTCTGTATTTAGTTGTGTTCACCATATCCTTGACTCTGATGACCAGGCTGAAAGCTCCCTGATAGACATCTCTTTTCCCTTCTAGACCCACACTGCAATTGGGATGGTTCATTAAAAATATAAACTAAAATATGTCACTTGTGTGCCTAAATCCCTTCTGTGACTTGCCCTGTGTCTGGAAAACAATGAAGATGCTAAAATTGCCCACACAATCCCTGGGGGTCCAGCCCTTCCCTCATATCCCACAGTGTTCCCACCACCCAGTTCTCCATCCCGTTGAGGATGCTCCAAGTACAGGCCCCTCCCAGTTCCAGAACCACACCCCACAGTTCCCATCCCCAAGCCTCAATGTGCTGTTCCTGGTATTGTCTGCTGCAGCTCTTCCCCCGGCTAGTACCCCCTGATTCTTCAGGGCACGGCATTACTGTTGCTCTCTCAAACAAACTGTCTCTGACCCCTGAATCCAAAAGTCCTTGACATTATCGTCACTGACCCCTTCTTCTACACACTTATCAAAGCTTACAATGACATTTGTGTGATTACTTAATATGTCAGTCTCTCCTTCTGGATTGTAAACTCCATGAGGGCAGCGTCCGTCCGGGTCTGGGTCACTGTGTCTCCAATGTTGAGCACCAGACTGACTTCACTATGACTTTATAGAAACCATGAGGATTTTTAAAAAAGAATAAATCCATACTGTAATGTAGTCTTTAAAGATTTCAGGGTGCTTTGCCTTCAATTTCTTCTTCTTCCTCACTAAAGAACTAATACTAAACCTCAGCATTGTGGCTGAGAGAAGTCTGTATTCTTCCCGGACTCCTCCTCCTGGGTGGTCCACAGTGTTCAGAGTGCCTGTGAGGTCGCACACTTTATTTCAGGGCTGTTAATGCTCATCACACACAGGTCTGTGCTGCAGTTTATGCACCTTCTGAAGAAAAAGTCTTTATGGAGGAAATCCCCATCAGTGGATTTCTATCGAAGTCTTGGCTTCTCTCCAATTTGCTTTGCAAATTTCTGGATGATTGCTTTAGTTGCTGATACAAAGGACTGAGTGATGATGCAGCTTTGTCTAACTTGAGCACCTCTATCTGTGTTCTCTTGGGTAGCTGCATTCTCTCTGTGGGGCCAGCACTGTCTGTGACGGCATTGGCAAGGATGCCTGCATTCTGGAGTAACAGTAAGAAGAGTTAATTTTTATTGAGTGCTTATTTTGTACCAGGCACTGTTCTAAACATGGGTTCCTTTAATCTCCAAAAAAAACCTAACAAGGCAGGTAATATTACAACCCCCACTTGGAGGTCAAAAAACAAAACAAACAAAACAAAACTCATGCACGGGGAGTTTAAGAAAACTGCCCAAGATCATACTCTATAGCCACAGAGTCAGGATGCAAACCCAGGCAGCTTGGCTCCAGTGACCTGGCTGCTAAGTACTATGTGCCAGGACCACTCTGGAGACTTGTGAATGCATGACATTTCTGGGCAGCTTAATTAATTAAACACCCTGTTGAAAGAAAGGGCTAATGAGTGGCTCAGGACATGCATCTCCTCCCCTACTCTCTTGGCAAGGGTGGGACGGCAGGTAGGTGGTGGGTTTATGGAATTTTCTTGGGGTTCAGAAGTAGCTGCTACCTTGGCCATTTACTCTTTCTCAGGTGAGAGTAACTGCTTTCTGCTCAGCAACAAGGGAACTGGCATACATGCATGGGCTATACATAAGTGAGATGTTTAGAAGGTGACTCTTCATATTCATCACATGACATAGTAGTGGTCATAATAGGAAGTAAAAAATGAATGTTGAATGAAGAAAATAATATGAGTGGAAGAGTTCCTGGGATCCTGGCACATTTCAATGTTAAAATCCATTCCTCCTATTTAATAGAAAACAGCAAAATAATTTAAATTCACCCAAGAAATGAAAAGATTAGGCTGGGCGTGGTGGTTCATGCCTGTAATCCCAGCACTTTGGGAGGCTGAGATGGGTGGATGGCAAGGTTAAGAGATCAAGACCATCCTAGCCAACATGGTGAAACCCCATCTCTACTAAAAATACAAAAAATTAGCTGGATGTGGTGGTGTGCGCCTGTAGTTCCAGCTACTTGGGAGGCTGAGGCAGGAGAATCACTTGAACCCAGGAGGTAGAGGTTGCAGTGAGCCAAGATGGCGCCACTGTGCTCCAGTCTGGTGTCAGAGTGAGACTCTGTCTCGAAAAAAAAAAAGATGAATAACACGGGAAAAAGACAATCTTAAGTCTAACACTTGAGCCATTGGAGTAGAATCAAGAGTAGATCTAGAAAGATGTTTCTTGGCCATCACAACCAAGGTGCTGCTGGGTTTTCTCTGAGGATTCTCTTTCATTTCTTCTGATACCCTTGTGTCCCTCCCTCCCCACGTGTTTCTGGGCTCCGAACACTGCCTCATATCATGTGCCCTACCAACAATCTGACCCTGCTGCCAAGCCCATACCGACCAAGCCAGTCCTCTGCTCTGTCCAGCCCCTTGGGTCCTTTCACTTTCTCTTCTTCATGCCTTGTTTTCACTATTTTTCTTAACGCTTTAATACTCTGTCTCATGCTTACATTTTTTCTACTTTGTTCCAGATTTTCCAGATTTTCTTTTTGTTTTCTCCTTTAAACAATCATTTGTGATCATAGTGCAATCCAACTAAAAAATAATGACAAAAAGACAAAAACATATAAGCATAGATAAGTTTAAAATAAAATTCTAAATAATTAGGCTCAAAAAAGGACTAAAAACAAAATACAGACTATAGAAAAATAACAATGAAAAGATTGCATATCAAAATCTATGAGATACAACGAAAGCTATATACATGGGGAAATTTCATAGCTTTAGATGTTTTTATTAAATTAGAATGATTGAAAAGAAACTTTCAATTAAAAAAGGTAGAAAAAGGCCCAGCGAGGTGGCTCATGCCTGTAATCCCAGCACTTTGGGAGGCAGAGGTGAGAAAATTGCTTGAGGCCAGGAGTTCGAGACTAGCCTGGCAATATAGTGAGACCCCCATCTCTACAAAAAAGGTAGAAAAAGAATACTCAATCAAGAGAAATGAGGACTAGGTATATAAGAAAGATAAAATTAGAAGAATATTTAGAAAATGGGAAAAGAATAAGATTGATACATATGACTAAAACTTTTCCTTGTAAAGTTTAATAATAGAAATAAATCTGACTAAGAAAAAAATGAGAAAATTCAGTAACTGACAATTACTGTCAGTCTTCTTTTCTGGTGCTAGGCATACAGAAAGTTACAGCACACACACAAAGATCAGAATTTTGTGGTCTGAGTTCAACACCGTTTGTCCTTGATAGAAAGGAATAATTTAAAGAGGAAGGATGTGATCTAGTTTTCCAAGGTCATTTTCTGCTGCAATTGAAAGAGGGGAAGTGTAATCTGAATACCGATTCTTCAAGGTAGTAAGCATGTAAATCTGCCAAATAGCTCGTTCAATGTCTTGTGCGAGAAAAATAATTCTAACAATGTGTCAGACTCACTCTACCAGTCCACACCAGTGTACTCACCATCCTGGGTCGCCTTTCTGCACCTCAGGCTATTCATTCCAGATTCTTCTTACTGATTTCCTTGCTCCAGCCCCCTTGCTTTGTTCTCTCCAGAGCATGGCAGGCAAACCAATGCTCTGAAAATGAGGACAGCCCTCCATCCGGGCGTGGTGGCTCATGCCTGTAATCCAAGTACTTTGGAGGCTAAGGTGGGGGCGGGGGGGGAGTTCACCTGAGGTCGGGAGTTCAAGACCAGCCTGACCAACATGGTGAAACCCCGTCTTAAAAATAATAATAATAATGATAAAACAACAAATGCTTCCAAAACAAAGAAACAAACAAAGAAACAAAAAAAAAAAAAAAAAAAAAAAAAGAAAATGAGGACAGCCCTTCTGCAATAGTGAAATACTTCGTTTAGTATTCTCAGGGAGGCCAGACCACTGGTTATATAATCTTCAAACGAACACTGGCACGTATTTGTCTTTGGAAGGCAACACCTTATCTTTCCTACACATGGAAAGCCAGGTATCCACCTCAGTTAAACTCTTTTATCTGCATAGAGCAGGAACTGGGTGAGGAAACTGCTTTCCTGAAAGCAGAGTATACATCCGTTTGTACTTGCATTATGTTAAAACGTAGGTGAACTAGATAATGATATTACCGTGAGTTTTCTTTAAACAAGTTTGACATGCAGGTGAAAGAAACATCAAGTTATTTGAAGCCGTTAGAGTACTTCTCCTCACAGTATGGATTTCTGAAAACATTTCCAACATTCTTGGAAAACATCCATTTCCTACTCAGATGCTTTCCAAGAAATTATGCATCAACTGGAAGAAACAATCAGAATGGCCTACTCACACTTTGCTTAAATTCTCCTCTTTGCCTCCACCTCTCGCCCCCCATGACTCATGCTACCACTCAGGCTTTGCGTCATCAAGATGTCTTGCGTGCTCTTTACAAGGATTTCCCGGAGGGAGAAGTGGAGTCGCTGCTGCGGGGCCTTTTCGTCGCCGCCCTGGTGCCCTGCGTCCCGGGGACTGCGAGGAGGAGGCGCTGGGGGTGGAGGGGTCAACGTGGCGTCCGCGCCCAACCGCCCCGCCGTCCCTGCGCCTCCCCGGGCGCGCGTTGGCGCAGCAGGGCCTCCGCGTGCCGGGAGCCTCGCCCGACCCGGCCGCCGCCGCGGGGGTCCCTCCCAACCTGGGTCTGGGGCCGGCGGCGTAGCTCGGGTGGCTGCACTTTCCGACTTGATCTGAAAACGCGAAGCGTTCGCGTCCCGCGTGGAAGCGGAGGAGGTCGGTTGAGCTGAGCGTAACGTCCGGGGAAAACCGGAATCCTGCGTGGGTCTCGAGGCGCTTCGCGTTCAACGCTTCTGCAGCCTCGGATTTCCTGGCGGGATGCGGAAGCTGGGAACGGGAAGAACCTGGGTCAAAATGGCCGGGAGCTTTGGACTCGTTCGGGGTCAGCTGCGGTTCACCAGGCTCCGGAGCAGTGGCCTTCCAGGCAGGCGTTTTGAGTCTGCGCCTTTTCCCCTAAAGGTCACCAAGATGTCCATCACTCATTTCTTGTGCTGTTCGTTCCCTTCCTCCGGTTTAAGAAAGGCCTCCCCCTCCCATCCCGGACATACTGCCTGCGCTCCCTCTGCCTGCGGCCCGGCTTGGGCGGCCTCCTCCCGGCACAGTGACCCGCCCGTCTGCGTGTTTAGGACGGTGTCATCCATGCCGCCGTACGGCGGCAGACAGGAGTCCATGAGTCTTGCAGCTGTGGTAATCAGCCAGGGAGGGCCGGGAGCTAGAGGAGGGGGCTTCCAGTCTCCCCGCAGCCCCTGAGAACTTCTGGATTCCAGGGGCATATAAACAGAGGCTTCCTGGAGTCTGGGGTACCTTCATCCTCGTCAGAGTTAGGATGGTGCCGTTTTCAGGCCAGTAGAGGAGAGTTTGCTTTCAGTAGGTGTGTACAGGGGCAGGGGTGGGGCATAAATTGGGGGAACTTTCAGGGCCTTTAAAATCTGGCTGGCTGAGGGTAATCCCCTTCCCCTTGCAGGGTTTTGGCTCTGTCTGAAGGTGTGCCCGTGTTCAGAGTGTGCCGGGAGCCTCAGGACCCCATCCTGTTTCAAGGCGTTCAGTGCTTCCTGCCTCCTACTCGTTTCTCTCAGATCTGCCTTCTTGGTTGGTGTTCCCCATGGAGGCCGCCTTGCTTGGCACACTTCTTTCTCTCTCTCTTTTTTTTTTTTCTGCTTCGTTTTGCATTTCTCTCCTCCCCTTCTGCATTTGCTTTTCTTCCTTCTCTGCAGTTTCACCCTCTGGTGAGTTTGATCCAATTTCATGGCTCTGATTACTAATTTACGCTCACAACTCATAAATCTGTCTGCACCAGACCTCTTGCCAACCTGGATTAACTGCCTGTTGGATACATCCCTTGGCTGGCTGCCAGGCTACACATCTAAACTCTGGGTCACCATGCTGCCTTTGAACCAGCTCCTTCTCCTCTGGTGCCTGCTTCTGTTAAGGGCATCACTGTTCTCCCACTCTCCTGAACACAACCTTAGACTTATCTTTGATCCCTTCCCTGGCCACCCCATCCAGCTGGGGGGGCAGGTCCTGTTCCTTGAATCTTTCCATTACCACCAGTATGTCCTCCCTCAAGTCTTTGTTACCTCGTGACTATTCCAGCACTTGCCCAACTGTTCTCTCTCATATTACACAGTTTGCAAGATTAATTTTCCTGATTGTATTGTTTCCTCGATCAAATTACAATTAAAGGCCTGTGCAGTTGATAGGGTAAAACCTGTCTTTAACTTATGTAAAGTTAAACTTAACGTTTAATTTATGTAAAGAAGGCTTTAACTTATGTTTAAGACCATCTGATGTGATTTGGCTGTGTCCCCCACCCAAATCTCATCTTGTAGTTCTCATAATCCCCAGCTGTCTTGGGAGGGACCCAGTGGGAGGTAGTAGAATCATGGAAGCGGTTACCCTCATGCTGTTCTTGTGATAGTGAGTTCTCACGAGATTTGATGGTTTTATAAGGGGCTTCCCATGCCCCACCCACCCTTCACTCTGTACTTCTTGCTGCTGCTATGTGAATGAGGACCCCGTGTTTGCTTCCCCTAGGCCATGATTGTTAAGTTTCCTGAGGCCTCCCCAGTCATGCCCAACTGAGAGTCAATTAAACCTCTTTATAAATTACCCAGTCGTTATATCTTTATTAGCAGCATGAGAATGGACTAATACACCATCTATGATCTGATCCAGGCTAGTTTTCTAATTCTGTCTCCAGATTTTCCCCTTCACAGCCTACCCTTCAGCCACGCCACATTGTCTATGTTCTGAGACATACCTGATTCCTTCCTGACCGACACACCTTTGCTTCTGTGTTTTCCTCCACCTGGAGTTCCTTTTCTTTATGTCCACTTACCTAGATCCTACCCATTAGCTGGACTGCATTTGGGCTATGTCTGGTACAACACTTTCAACTTGTGTTGCTTTCATTATAAGGCCATATACAGTTAAACTAAGTTATAGCTCTGTCATGTAGGATCTCTAATTTATTTTTACCATTTCTTAAGTGCCTGGCCACAGCTTTTTAGATGTTACATTAAAATGTGTTGAATAAATGTATAAATGATTTTGCATCTCAGTCTGCTCTGTTATAACCTCTTTTGTCTTTGTTCTTGAAAAGGAGTGACAGTTTCAATCACAAAAAAGGCACCATCATACAATTATCAATTAGTTGCCATGTATCTTATGTACCTTAGTACAGAACTGTACCAAATCTTCTCAAATGCATAAAAAATGTATTAATATTTAATCAGGTGAGGCTGGCACAGGTCTTGTGGCTACGAGAAGTTTCAGCTGACATTAAGTTGGACTAATGGAATACTATTTGTAATATTCTTGCCAGACCCCAGACACATATTCCCTTCTGCCCTCTGACTCCATCAGAAGTCTTCCTTTGCTCATTTCTCTATGATGGTGTTGCAGGCTAAGAAAAACAGGAAACAAAAATAATGCTGGGAACACAAAGGACTGGTTGGGGAATAATGACAATGGTCATTATAATAATTATTTTTAACATTTAGCTGTTAGTATGTGCTGGCACTGTGGTAAACACTTATAGAACTAAGCTCATTAAATACAAAGACATGACTAGGTAGTTCTCTTTGCTATTTTACAGATGTGGAAGCTGAGGCACAGGTAGATGAAAATCTTGCCTAAGGTCACACAGCTATTAAGAGGCAGAGCTGGGACTTGAAGGCCACCATCTGATTTCAAAGCCATGTAACTTCAGCCTTTTCAACTGGTCGGTATTTTCTAAGTGCAGAAGTTCAGTGACAGATGCAGACAAAATAGAACATGCTGCTTGCTCTAGAGAAACTTTCAACCCAGCCCAGGCAGAGTCAGGGAAAGCTTTGGGCGAGTAAACAGTTCTAGGAGCTTTTTGGAGGAGTCCTTAGGGTTTTCTAGGTAAGCAATCATATCAGCAAACAGCAACAGTTTGACTTCTTCTTTACCAATCTGGATGCCCATTATTTCTTTCTCTTGTCTGATTGCTCTGGCCAAGCCTTCCGGTACTACATTGAAGACAAGTAGTGAGAATGGGCATCCTTGTCTTGTTCCAGTTCTCAGAGGGAATGCTTTCAACTTTTCCCCATTCAGTATTATGTTTGCTGTGGGTTTGTCATTGATGACTTTTATTACCTTGAGGTATGTCCCTTGTATGCTAATTTTGTAAGAATTTTAAACATAAAACGTTGCTGGATTTGTCAAATGCTTTTTGTGTGTCTATTGAGATAATCGTAATTTTTGTTTTAAATTCTGTTTATGTGGTGTATCACATTTATTGACTTGGGTATGTTAAACCATCCCTGCATCTCTGGCATGAAACCCACTTGATCATGGTGGATTGTCTTTTTGATATGTTTTTGGATTCAGTTAGCTAGTATTTTGCTAAGGATTTTAACATCTGTGTTCATCAGGGATATTGGTCTGTAGTTTTCATTTTTGGTTATGTCCTTTCCTGGTTTTGGTATTAGGGTAATTGTGGCTTCATAGAATGATTCAGGGAGGAGTTTTTCTTTCTCTGTCTTGTGAAATAGTGTCATAGGATTGGCATCAATTCTTTGAATGTCTGGTATGATTCTGCTGTGAAGCCACTTTTTTTTGTTGGTAATTTTTTGAATTATCATTTCAGTCTTGCTGCTTGTTATTGATCCAGTCAGGGTATCTAATTCTTCCTGATTTAAGCTAGGAGGGTTGTATCTTTCCAGGAGTTTATCCATCTCCTCTAAATTTTCTAGTTTATGCACGTAAAAGTGTTCACAGTAGCCTTGAATGATCTTTTGTATTTCTGTGGTGTCAGTTATCATATCTCTTGTTTAGTTTCTAATTGAGCTTATTTGGATTTTCTTTCTTTATTTCTTGGTTAATCTTGCTAATGGTCTATCAGTTTTATTTATCTTTTCAAAGAACCAGCTTTTCATTTTATTTATCTTTTGTATTTTTTTTGGTTTCAATTTCATTTACTTCTGCTTTGATCTTGGTTATTTCCTTTCTAACACTGGGTTTGGGTTTGGTTTGTTTTTGCTTCTCTGGTTCCTTGAGGTGTAGCCTTAGTCTGTTTGTGCTCTTTCAGACCTTCTGATGTAGGTGTTTAGGGCTATGAACTTTCCTCTTAGTACAGCCTTTGCTGTATCCCAGAGGTTTTGATGGGTTGTATCATGATTGTCCTTCAGTTAGAAGAATTTTTAAATTTCCAAAGAAAAAGGCAAGCCATTCAGCGAGAACTGTGGCCTTTTCCTTCTGGGGTTCTGGAACTACACAAGTAACACTCTCCCAAGTTTCTATCAGCCAGATATATGATCCCAGGCTTTCAAAAGGCCACAACGATTGGAAAGGAGATTGTACTACCACAAATATCCTTATTTCTAGGATCTGGAGTAGTTGCCTAGCTGTCACCTTTGTAAACCCTCTGGAGGAGATAGAGTGCAAGTATTGTGGCCTAAATAGTATCTGCAGTGGTCCAACCTTGTCACCTGTTTGTAGAATTTCATAGGATGTTATGTAGTTATTTTGATGCTATAAAAATATATTTTGGAAAAATATGCTATGACCTATTGATATTTATTTTGATGAAATTAGTTTAAAAGGAGAAAAAACTGAAGTGACAATGCAAGCTTCAAATTTTTGCATAGCCTATCCTTTCATAAAACTATTGAAACGAAAAGCCTTATTTTGGACTTTCTCTGGAGTGAATTTAAGTTGACGATGTTTGTTAGGGCTGAAAAGGAGGCCCTATATCATTGTATGTGGTTGGGGTGGAGGCTGGGGTAGAATTGGAGGGAGAAATGATAACTGTGGTTACATTTGACCAGATATAGGGGATG